TCCTTACCCGCGATGCACGATAGTACGATGGTGAAAACGCAATGGTACGATGACACGATGATAAAAACACGATGGTACGATGGTAAAAACACGATGGTACAATGGTGAAAACGCGATGTTATATCGTAACTATATTGCATTGTTCCATAGATAACACATGTCAAAACCAGAAAGGAAGAATACAAGAAGTATTTTTCTTGCATACATGTATCAGACTGGCGTTTCCGTTAGTTTTACCCATGCCGGAAATTTCATCTGGCAGGGGGGGGGGGGGTCCCAGAAGAGTGACGTGCTGTACAACGGCACGCTAAGGATGACGTCATTTTACCGTTATGAATGAAGTTGTAATTTCATACGCTGTTGTAAGAAAGTAGTTACGGTTGTAATGATATAAATTTCCATTGAAAATAAAGGTAAAGAATTTGAAATATAATGAAAAATGGTAGAATATGCAAATAAAATATCTGACATATGTTTGCGGTTCGGATCGGAATATCCGTCTCTCAGTAGTATTTTGTCGCACATGCGCAATTTGCGTAGGGCATCGCACAACATAGAAATATAGTAGAAGTCAGGCAAATCCGAGTTAGTTTAAGGTAAAAAGTAGCATTTTTTTATGAAACAGCTTTTAAAAATATAAAAGCCTTTATAGCCTTGTGGCCAAGTTTGCCATAAAAAGGGCATGAAAAAGATTAAAGCTGCATTAAAAACATTCATTTAAAAAATAACTACATTTTGTAAATTAAATGTGTTTCGTGTCAACTCCCGGTTTTATTTTGGTGTCCAGAAAACTAAAATTAGTTGTATAATCCTAAAATGTTGCAACCTCATTGTGGGGAAATCGACAGTACAATTTCTGTTTGCATGAGAAACACCGCATTTGGGTCATTCATCCATCAATAGGAAATCAATAAACATTTTTAAATACTGTGCCGCTATGATAATGTGAGAGTGACGTTGCATTTTTTTTGTGTTCACAAAAGTTTACCACCTTTGTTTCAATGGGTAAATCAGGGTTTTAAGAAGCGATGTGAAATAGAATTTAAAATGTCTCGATGGCCAAGTTGGTAAAGTCAATGGGATGCCATACAAATTGAGCCTCACAAATTGTCAAACCTTTTCTCCCCCCCCCCCCCCCCCCCCCCCCCCCCCCTGTTTTTAAATTTTACATTAGATGAAAATGAAATGGAATATCAAGATTGTTTTGTTTTAATATCTAATAATTCAAATATACCGGTAATAATGATCTTTATCCTGTGTTGTATGTAATAGTCATAAAACTTAATAAAACTAAAAAAAATCACGAGTATTCCGTGCCAACTTGACTTTACTTTACGGAAGCTTATCAGGGCCTCCACTTATCTAAAAGTTTCACGTCATGTCAATTTGTTTCGTCTCGTTTTGACCAAAAACATTTCATGAAGACGCTAAACGGAAGCTTATCAGGGCCTCCACTTATCTAAACGTTTCACGTCATGTCAACTTGTCTCTTCTCGTTTTGACCAAAAACATTCCACGAAGACGTTATGATTAATACATAATACATAAAACGTTCCATTAAGACATTATGATTAATACGTAATATGTAGAAGTTTTTAATCATCGCAAACAAAACTTTTTTGAATTACATGAGCCATTTGTCAATGCGAGTAACGCCTTTGCGTCTTACTAAATATTTAAGCAAAGTCGTCAAATCAAGACGTTTCGACAGGATTTTTGTCTAAGAGACAAAAGCTTTAAGAATATCGAGAAAAGCTAAATTGCAATGCCTAAAAGCTTCTCATCTTTGTCAGTAAATTTTATTGACAAATGCAAAAACATCTTATCAATGCGAAAAAAAAATAAGTTGAATTAGCGCAAAACATCTCACCAACTTTAGGCCCTGATACGCTTCCGTAGATGTTATTGCACAACTGACAAACAATTACTGACAAAGATGAGAACTTTTTAAAGCATTGCAACTTAACTTCTCTCGATATACTTGACAAAAATTTTAGTCGAAAAAATACTCTTGCTGAAATATTAAGTAAGATGCATCGTTATAGTGTACTGCTGCGTCACTAAATAATTATCATAAACGTACCATAGGAACTCGAGAACGGGACCACAGATTACGGCGCATATTTCCGATCGTGTAACGGTTTTTAAAAACGTTTCTGCTACATCTAAATATCTTTTAGTATTATCCGAGTATATGGCCTCAAAATATATAATATCAATTGAACCCAATCTGTCTCTTTTAAAACTGGTCAAATTTTACGGTATTATAAAAAAGACAAGGAGTGACATACGTCATTCGCCGCAACATTTCCGGCATGAGTTTTTCCCCTTTGGCTACAATTGATTACTATTTTATTCAGAACTTTGTTCCCGTTATTTTTGTCAACTATCATGTATCGTCCGGATATAACGTTCACGGTTTATTGATTACACGTGTTGACATGTATAGGCGGCATTATAACGGGCGTATTCGTGTTTAGATTTGTTAACATGGAGAAAACAGACACTTTAGTAGTATGGTTAAACTGATTTTGCCTATCTGAAAAAGGAATATTAAAACATGATCCATAGATAAATGTTTTAGTCACTCATTTGGTATTCATTACTAGAAAAATTAAAACAAAAATCAAGCATATCAAGGGGAATAACTTACGCCGAACGTTGCGGTAAATGGCGGATGTCACTCCTTTTTCTCTTTTCAATATACCGTAAATTTGACTGATTTTTAAATAAATAGAGGATATTGAATGAGTGTAAGTTCAATACTGAATTTATTGCACGAGTTGAATAAAATTATATTATGCGAGCCTCTGGCGAGCATAATATTATTTAATTCAACTCGTGCAATAAATTCAGAAATGAACTTTTACACGAACTTAATATTCTATTTATCACATACCAAAAATGAATACAGTTTAAAGTGAAATAAGAGTCATTTTTCATTGACGCGCATATAGTATAACGCCAACATTTAGCGCGTCTTTACACTATGTTTGTATAACGCTAATGACGTCACGTCAAAATATATGCACGGCCGTGCAATACCATATTTACGGAGTCGCAAAATCGGCACGGGTGTGTGATAAACAGGTTATATTAAATTGAGATTAGATAATTAAAGACCACCCGCTCGCATAATATGAAAATATATTCAAAGGTCGGACAAATATGTAAAGCCGATATGGATTCGAATTTATGCGCCGCAATATGCGGTCCTGTTCCAGAGTTCCTATGGTTTACATATTCTATTTAATGAGCTTTAAGAATTCCCTCTAACGACCACGGACCTGACATTGACATTTACATTATTGTAAAAATATGGAATATATGTATTAGCAAATTAAGAGGTCAACATAACTTTTGTTGAAATATTTCATATAAAAACTAAAGAAATTTTAATAATGTTAAGTATCATTCTGAAAAAGTCAGAACACGTGACAATGCATTTTAAGTTTTCAGTTTACCTGATTGTATCCTATATGCGACTGATGCCGAACAGAAATTGTTTAAATCACATAAATATATTTAAATATTTTTTTTTTAAATATTGAGAAATTAAAATGAGTAGTGGGTTGTGAAATAACTTTTTATCGTCCGATTCAATGTAAATGCAAGTCATACTATAGCTATTTGTCACTTACAAAATCAATAAACATTGATGAGATTGTAAAAGCTACTTAGATTACGATTTTTATCATTTTACTTAATTAACAATGTCATGGTATTAAAACGTCCCGGTTGTATAACTAATCTTGTATATTACAACGTAGTAAAATGGAAATAAACAACCGGTCATATCTCAATCTGTTTGATACTTACTGCCTTGCTGATACATTTAAACAAAGGAAGTGTACACATGTACAATACAAATTATGCAATATTTTGTCATACACGGGTAGTTAACACCCTGCTGTTTCAATTTAAATTTCTGATGGAAAATTCGTCTACTGCTATCTGAAAAATAGGACTTTGTACATGCGTTTATTTTTCATTAAATTATTCTTCCCTCATATATTTTCGTATATCTGTTACAGATACAATTGACGTTCTAATTACTTACTGCTTAAGTCATACCAAAATTACTGTTTTCTGAGTGACATATAACTATAAATCACATCTTTAACAGATTTGAAATGTCATAGTCATCGTTATTTTGTTTTTGCCCTACGCAGAATGCGTATGCGCGAAATACAACATTTGTTACTGTGATAAAATCATATAGGCAAGTTACATGTTATTGTTATGAAATATATTAATAATTAAAGAGATAAGGTAACTTTCAGATGGTTGGCAAAAAATATGGTGGCTGATTAAATGAAAAATATAGTAATTTTATATCTATAATAACAAACTTATTTTTCATGTAACAGCTAAGTAATTTATATCATTAGAAAGTTCATTTTATTCATATTTTTACATTAAAAGATACATTTACAAAACGTTTTCATTTTTTCTTGGTAAGGAGTGAAAACTTGGTAATAGAAAACTTTTGAAATAACAGTTGAAAAATTTCTGAGCTTTCTTTTTTTTAAAGCAAAAAATGAAAATCTGCTTATATTTCAAAAATATGAAAATAAAGAACTTTCAAATGATATAAGAATCTAAAAGATCGATCCACTAATAATAAAGTAATTAGAATTTAAAAATTCTGCTGCTATATAATGAATATAAATATTGGTTCTAATTGCCAACTGGTAAATCTGCTAAATTCTGGCAGCAGGTGCTTGTGATGTCATCGTGCAATAGGCCTATTGTTTAAAGTTCAATAATGATCAGAAGATCGCAAGTTTGCAAATTTATGTTTTTGATTTATAACTATCGAGTTCACCAATTAGGAACTAGGGAGAGACACGTAAGTCCATTTCTGTTTCGACTGAAAGATGAATACTCATAGGAGAAATTACACGGATGTTTTGATAAATGTCCATTTTGTTTGAAGAAAATGGAGAATGCAGTGTACTGAATTGCTATATTGGTAGTAAATTAACATTTATCCTTAAATCCAATTTTGATATTTATAGGAAGACCACCAGAAACTGCCCATTCACCCAAAAAGAAGTCTGAAGAAGTCAAAGACACAAACGATGGTAGTTTTACCGGTAAAATGAAATAAAAGTATTTTTACCAGGTTTTCTGAAAACAAAGTACAACTTATAATATAGACCAGTGTTGCCGGCGAGAAAAAACAAAGCTTTTAAAAATTAATGAATTAATAAATTTGTATTTAAATACTTAAACGATTAGCTTTGCTACTTCAGATCTTTCCAAAGAATCTTCAAAAATACTAACGATTTTAAAGCTCATTAAATTCGGTTTTGTTTCTACAATAAATATAAACATGCTTGTTAAATTTAAAATAACCTAATTAAATGACCGTTGTTATAATGTTGGCACGATATCATTAATTCCATTCAAAGGAAAACTGTGCGAGATTGTTGGTAAACGTAAATAGCAGCTTATCGTACTTTTCTATTATTTTATTTATTTTGCAGTGATACTCGTAAAATAAGATATGTTGCAATGCTTAACAAAGCAATGTCTTTCACAACACCAGGTGTTGTTGTTTTTTTCACAATAAAAAGATGGCCTTTTGTTGGTCACCTTGTATAGACAAAAGTGTACTTTAACAATAACACATGAAAAACGAAAACCAACATTACGCCATTATATCACAAAATAATAAAAATGTAAAAAGTATTGCGCACACAAGACATTGTTTACGCCTTGAAGCATTTATGTCTGAAAACATTAGAGTTAGTTTCTACACTAAACTAAGTCTGAACAAACTTTGAACAAAGTAAATGCGAATGAATAAATAAGATAGGATAAAAAGATGAAAAATAACACAATTTATCAAGAAAAATGTTTCGCTTTAACAAGCTTCATCAGTAATAATAATTAAATAAATAAATAAATAAATAAATAAATAAATAAATAAATAAATAAATAAATTAATTAAATAAATAAATAAATAATTAATTAATTAGTTAAACAAGCAAACAAATAAACAAACAAATAAATAAATAAATTTATTAATAAATAAATAAATAAATAAATATATTTATTTATTTATCTATATATATATATATATATATATGAACATGTATATGAACAGATCGCAATCTAGCTATTATTTATTTATTTGTTTATTTATTATATATTTAACTCGATGAAATATATATATTATGAAGACATTTGGTAATTTGTGTGTAAAATTAAGATGTAAGATGAAATTTTATTTCATCGTGTTAGTCATAGCTCATCTCAAAAAAGCCCTAACAATGTCAGAATTGTTAGCTAAAATATCATAGAGGTATCACATGGGGAAAATCTTTAAAAAGTAGTCTCATCATTGAAAAGTGTGATATTGTTTCATAATTTTTATAATTTTCACTGTGAAATTATTAAATATAATTTTCACGGATAAATCAGTAATCAATTTAAAAGCATAAAGTACGTAAATGCTGATATTGTCATTATATAGCTAAGTAAAGCATACAACATCGATTCTGTCAATACAAGTTACAGTTATAAACTATTATTGTAAGTGGTATCTTATATTTGGTTTTAGATGACCCCGTATGGCAACGTAGACAGGACGAAAAAAACATTCAAGGTAAAACTCATAAATTATATTAAACAATATGTAAAACCGTTCAGAAGGTATGTTTTGAAAGATTTTACAGTCACATTTTCGTTAAAGATAGTGTACGATGCCGACCGAAAACATATTGCTGCAACGAATCCGGTTCAGATATACTTTTCTTGTGAATATATAAAATGTCTTAACCTTTAGCATGGTGTCGACGCTATTCTTCAATTTTAATCACGCGTACATGTTCTTCATGCGGCCAATACAAAAATATGGCTGTGCCAACTGCTTTGTAGAAATCGGTTATTTTGCGGAAGAATCACGCTATTCGTTACCCAAACAATTGTTTTGATCTGAAATTCGTGATGTTCTAGTGTAAATGTGAATTCAATAAACTTCTCCACAATTTTACGGGCACACAGGATTTTATTTTTTCGTCCCATCCTTAATCTAAAATGCGCGTCAACAGATTCCAAGCGAGAGAATTTTCCACCAATTTTATCGTGATATAAAGTACGGCTTCTTCTCTCAAATTCACTGTTTCCTTTACATATGAAACCACTAATTAAAAAAAAAGTAATATGTCGTCATCTAAGAATGCGTGGTTCCGGAAGCGTGACGGATTTTGTTAAAGACTGGTTGCTCATGCGTAGGATTATACAAAAAGTGTCCTATTAATTGGTGCAGAATCTACGTGAATAATATTATTCTTTTATTTGCTTAGACCTGTATCTCCAGAATACTCACCTATTTATTCGATTGAAGATAACAATGACTACAAATTTTAGTCAGAGTAAAGGTAAATATCCTGATGCAGACTTATGTTTGGCGGGAGATTTAAATTCTCGTATAAAAAACTTCAATTACTTTTTGTTAGATGATAATTAATTGTACATATTTGGTGATAATATGCCATACCCGACAGATGATTTAAATATGCTTTATGTTTAGATTATCTAAAAAAATACAAACAGAGTTTAATCGTTCTTAATTCAAATTTACATCATTTTTTGTTGAATCCTGCTTAAGCTGGTGCTAGGGGGCGTGGTCGGTAACTTGCATTTTCCATTAACGCCCATGAACAGGGTCTGTAACATTTTCATTTTGCTTTGTTGGACTGCCTTCAGGGGTTCTGTTTTTCACGATCTTTTGGTTTATAATTTCTTTAATTATGTTGTACATATGGTATACATGTTTTTAATGGATTTTTTATATATAATAAACTTGCAAATATACTTGTTTAGCATATAATGGAGCCAGTGTCGATTATATGGCAGCTAGTCGTAGTTTGTTTAAATACGTAACATATCTAAAGTTGATAATAATACCGAGTCCACACATCTTCCTATTATTTGCCTTTTTAATTCCCTTTTAAAGGTAGTCAAAGTGACTATAATTTTGATAATGATGAGAATATGTCACCATGGCTGAAGTATAAGTGGAACATGGCTTAGACATGTACAAACATTCTATTAATATAATTTTACCATTTTTAAATGCTCTTTTTAATGATATTTTTGAAAACGGAAACTTCCAAGAAAAATGGAGTCAACGGTTTATAACTCCAATACGTAAGATTGGTTTTACATGAGATTCAAATAAGTATTGAGGTATTTCCATTTAGATTCCCTATGTAAATTATTTGTTTTTGTATTAACTATCCGTCTTACTAAATGGTGTGATTGCTGCTATGTAATTGATGAGTCTCAGGCTGGATTTAGTAAAGGCTATTCAACAACTGATATTGTTTTTACTCTAATGTCTTTGAACCAGAAATACTTATCGAAGAAACGGGATAGATAATATTTTATTTACATAGGTTTTTGCCATTGCGTTGACAGTATTCAGCATCAAAAATTATTGGACGCATTTTCTAGAAAAAATATTTAATTAAGTGGACAATTTCTGAAAATAATCAAATCAATGTATGCCAAACTTAAATCATGAGTTAGAGTTGATAATGTACTTACAAGCTTCTTCTCATATAATACTTGATGAAGACAGCGCTGTGTTAGAAGTCAGATATTTTTTTCATTTTTCATAACTAATCTAAATACTTTTCTTCATAAAAATGTAATAGAGGTATTTTTGTATCCGATGACATTGAAGGGTTTATTGCTCTTATGTTTGCTGGTGATGTGTCTTAGCTTTTCTGACACCGTTGTAAATCTATGTAGAACGTCTTAAGGCTTGACTTCTTTTAAATCCTTTCCCGCACACATTACATAGATTCATTTTAGGACTGAACATTATCACGATCAAACCGTTGGATATTCTCTCGTTTCGTATCTGGTGACGCGCATTTCAGATGAAGTACGGACTAAACAACATGAAATAAAATACTTTGTCACCGCAAAATTATGGAGAAAGTTATTGTTTGTACCTTTGCACTAGTGCATTTCAGAATTTCAGAGAGAAAAAAGGAAAATCATACTTTTCGGCTGCATCCAACATCTTGTTTGTTTGCGGTAACGAACGGCGTGATTCTCCCCCGTGGCTTTGCTTTTAAGCGTTCATTATCACTTTTAAAGCTTGAAAAATGCAAATTTACTATCTATAGCATACATTTTGTAAGGTGTTTTTCATAATTGTTTATGTCTACATTGCTTTGCCCTTTTAAATGTTTTATTATATGAAAACCCAGAGTCCTAATTACTACTATATATGTTACTACTATATAGGTACAACATTACTAAAAATAATATATATCATTATGCTAAAATTCTCATAGGGAGAACATTGTTGTATATAGTCTTAGTTCACTTGGCTTAAGTGTTGAATTATTGCGATCAATGCGTTTGAAGATATCCATCATTTTCCATAATTATTTGAATTACCACGATTAATAGATAATTAATGGTATGTAGGTAACTTATTTTATGAACGTCTACCATTTTTAACGTTTATCATTATTACCCATGCCAAGCTAAGATTAAAAGATGAGCTCTTATAGCTATAATAATGTAATGAGGAATATTTTGTAGTTGTTTTATCTAGTTCATACACTTTCAATTAATGATTGTTATCATCAATTTCAGACGGAATAATCAAAGATAACACTAAGCCAATGTCGGGTGAAAACAATTCCGTAGGTGTAGATAAAGCTGAGGTAATTAGTAGATCAAATCCTTGTACACTTGTATATAAACATTCAAGAGGCTAAACTTTTAACAAATCAAACTTTTTCTGTAAGCATTCTCTTTCTATAACAAAACAGGTGCATGTTGATAAATCTGAAATTAATTCCTCTTGTCTATGTCACTATCTTGACATGTCTGCTTAGCATTTGATTTGACTTCTTGTCCTGAAATTATGAACATGTTTGAAGTGAGACGTGTTTGATTTGGGATAAAATTATTGTAAAATGTCCATTTAACAATACTCTGAAAAGGTATTAGACTGTTTTCAATGTCACAAACATAGTAATATGACAGGAAAATGAGAAATATTTAACAACTTTAGTCTGAACTGATCTTACAGCTAAGTCCTTTATACTACAAAATCTTGCATTGTAAAAAGAAACATACAAAATAAGATAAAGAAAAAACGTGTTAAAGTAAGTAAGCCTGTCTCCAAAAAGTATCTGTAAAATGCTTTATATTACATGAAACAGAGCCGTTTTCAATCAAAATCACATATAATATAGACCAGACAAGACCAAGTTCGGTAATTTTGAAAAAAATAAGTCATCAATAACGTCGCGTACGCCATTATCCTGCCATGTTTCTGTTAAAATAATAACATTTTTCAGCTATTTTTGAAAATTCAAACTTCATGTATCTTTTTCATTGTCAAACAAAATTAATTCTTTGTACAAACAAAAACATTAAGTAAACACTTTTACCTGACTATAGAGTATGTTTTCATGAAATGATAAAATGTTGTTCCACTTCACTACAAGTTTACAGAATTAAAATATTTCGCCTGAAAACTTCGTTGTTACTGTGTGTTCCAACGTTGACCGATGTTAAAATTCTATTAAGGAAACATAATTAAAACGTTAGAACATAGAGAACAATTCCAAACTTTGCGTTATGTAATAGTCATAGTATAGCGACGATACTGTAATGTGGAAATGACTTGGGGCGACATCGAGGGCCGCAATCATTTTCTTTCGAGAAAACCTGAGATGAAATCTAGACCAAGGTATTTCCACATTACACTCGCGTTTGATATACTATAACTGTTTGATCGCATGATTAATAGTAATAAGAAATCTTAGACATGAAATTTTTAGTAATATTTTTTTTCTTCTCTTACTGAATTAATTTGCCCTCTCGGAACCTCGGTTACTTTAATGGTACATGTAAATGACCGATCCTTGATTATTAATAATCTAAACCCTAAAACATGAGAGCAAATCAGAAATATAGTTAATATTGTTCCGATTGGTTGGATGACCACATACATAGAAAAAGCATTGCTGTAGCGAATCTTGACGCAAAAACCGTCTTTTAAATAGGAGTTCTTATCCCATTTCATCATATCGATTACAAAGAAATCAAGAATTGCTTAACAGGAAAAAGTTTTTACAGGCATGTAAATTATGTTTAGAAAAATGTTCAAATGATCAAAAAAAAAAAAAACGAAATGAAAAGAAAAAAGCACAACAACTAAGCATTTACAAGCAAAATTCCGAACAGTGCAATTATAATATAACCCTAACATACTCCTATCATGAATGTAATTAAGAATACACTTCAAATTGTTTCATTCCAGATATTACCATATGAACAAAAACCGGGGTAAGGACATATTTATTTATCTCATTCTTAGCTGTTCAGTTGATTCCTTAGATTTATTATCAGGCTTAAAGTCTAACCACTGGGACACTTATTGTGATTTATAGTCATTCATTATTTTTCTCGGAAGCATTCTATTTTTTATGCATTTTAATATCTCAGTTGCTTTAAGCAGTGTCTACTGGCGTTTAAGTTCATCCTTTCGCAATACATGTACATATTCTTTGCCGATTTTATCATTTTAAAGTTTAGCCGTCAAACATAGTGTTTCATATTTTCAATATTACTTTAAGCCATCTTGACATATCTGTACAGTTCAATGTGCTACTTTCACCAGACATCACGTTTGTGGAAGGTGAAGACAATGTTAATTTATGGATTTTTAAAAATGATTACCATTACCAAATGTTTCGAATGACCAGCGTTATCACCAGTGGCGTTATGTAAGTACTTGTTTCATTACATCTTTGATTTTACCCAAACACAAAGTTGAGTGTGGGTGGGGGATTTACTGGTATCACTTGCATGTCGGTCGGTCTTTCTGTCCGTCCGTCCGTCAGTCTGTCGTTGTTTCACCCGCTGTATAAATCCTAAAGATTTTCTTCAAGCTTGCCCAAAATGATAACCCTAACAAGGCGATGTGTAAGGCCAATGTAATCGCCGTGCCAATTTACTCTTGAACGTCAAATATTTTTTGTGCCGCCCGCTCTTTAAATTCTTCAATTTCCTAAAAAAAAAAAAAAAAATTTTGCATGAATGTTACCCACAAAATAATGTCGACATTTAAAATTCCGGTTGAATTTTTGAGTGTCTGTAAAAACACTTGTGAATATAAGTAAATGTCAAACACAGGGGTGGAAAGTAAGGTATAGGCGATAACAATGCATTATTCCGCGTAGGGTGCAATAGGTTCCGTAAGCCAGTATAAGGGATATAATAACGAATTACCTGAAAAATGCACGTGAAGCGAGGTGCTAAAGTTTTTTCACTTGATGCTGACGACAAATGTCTGAATATAGTTTAAAAATTGAAAAGTAAAGCTTAAGCATGTTGAAGCAAATATTTCTTTGTCAAAGTCTTTTACAAGAAACACTGGTGCTTTTTTGCTGTTTTCTGTTATTTTTAATTACTCAATGAAGTAATAATGAACCAGATTTTGAGACGTAGCCTTAAAGTCAAAGAACTCTTCGAATGTATCAGTATTGGTGACATTGAAGTGTTTCTAAGAATTGCTTAAATGTTGATGACACTGTTGTTGAAAATCATACATACATATCACCGAAATGCAATATTGAGTATTGTAGGTTGTGGAATTTACATTTTAATGGATAAAAGAAAAAGTTATCATTACAAAATGTCAGAAGGATTACCGATTACTTCTTATCCTCGTGTTATTTTTAATTACAATGGTAGATATGTTAAAACTTATATGTTTGCCTCGCGGAAATCCTCAAATATTAATGCAGTTTGGGAAGAATGACTTACACAATGTGATCTTATTATTTACTTCTGCATATGGAATAAAATCTAGCAATATATATTTCCGGTTAGTAATTCAGAGCCATCATAGCCCTCTTGCTCCAAGGTTTATCATTGAAACGATTATCTTTAAAAAATTTGATAAATAGACTCGTACAGTCAAGTTACTCAAATCTGTGAAAAGGCCATTCATATCATTTTGATATAGACTCTGTGACCAAAAGAAGTTCCCGGTTAATGTTTTGTTTGCCATATCAATCTTGGAGAAAACTTAAGATTTCACTTAAACTTAATACACGGTCCTTGTGATAATAAGTAAAGGATAATTTCCAAGTAAACGTCCTTTTTTCTATATAATTATTCTCGTTAAAGACACACAGACAAATACATATATACACGCAGGCATGACGTTTCGCATTGAAAGCTTGTATGATTACAGCCGATTTTTGTTATCTTGTTTTATATTTAGATGTTGCGTTCTCTTCAAATTAGACCTATGTATCATAGGTTTTGATTTGCATTTACCACACCGACAATGAACAGGCTAAACCAAGTCTACAAACGAATTTAGTTGAGCTTTCTTTAAGGCTTCCATTTGATATTTTATGATTATACCATACGAAATTGCGCTAAAATTTTACCATATTTCAGGAAACAAGAAGACAATGGCTGCTTAGTGTTTACTGCTGAAACTAATTTACGGAAGAATGACATTTTAAAACATGTTGTTTCCTATAAGTACTTTGTAGAAAGAAAAAGTATTTCAAAGATAACACACGAAAAACGTAGGGACATAGAGGAACTTGTTTATGGGAAGTCAACACACTATGAAAATCGACATCTCGTTATTCCAAATATAGAATCAGGTAAATCATTTATTAAATATATTCTTTTCAAATTGTTTCTTTTTTAATGCAGTTTGATTCTATTTTAAACAAAATGAAAGATGAAAGATTGCATATTAAAGTAATAATTTTTAAATTTTTTTTAATTCCCCTGATTAAAAATTTAAAACTTTAACATTTCAAAAATTGGGGAAAACTTTATTAGACATTTTTTATTATTAAAAGATTCGGGAAAAAGGGCAAAAATTTAGGCTTTATTTTACGGGGAAAACAAGAATAAGTTTAAATAAAGAAAAAAGGGGGTGGAGGGGAAAAAAAGATGGAGATCCCAAAAAGCTTTCAAATTTTTCCCCCACCCCAATTGCGGGAGGATTTCAAAGGGGTTCCCAATTGTCATTACATATATCGGGAAACTTTTTCGATTTATTTTGTTTTATAGAAAATATCTAGGAAAAAGTAAATCGGGGAAAAAAAAAAAAAGGGAAAATTTGTTTAAAAAAGCTTTCATATTCCCAAAAACCCGGAATTCACTCTCTGGGGAAAAAAAAAGCCCCAAAATCTAATTTTCAATCAATCTGTGTAGTACAACAGTCGTCAGTCATCACTCATCAGTATTTGAATTCAAATTAAATCTACCCGTTAAGGGGATAAAGCTAGCTCTTTTTTATAAGTTTGTAAACAGTAACATTATTGGGTTTCCATAATGTTATGATCGATTTCCGACTACATTTACACTCATGGATATTATATTTAAACAGAATTAAGTATTCTTAAACAAGTAGGATTTTGACCATTTAGCAATGTTTTCGTGCAGTTATTCGCCCAATAGACAAAATACAAACATATTTCTTTAAACAGGTGATTATAAAAATGGAATCATTTTTTATAAAATCAGGCTGCTGAGTTTATTATTTTGATAAATCTAAATATGAATTAGCTAAAGTGAGCGATATAATACCATCACAGTTGTATTACTTTTATATATTGTAGTGTTTGTTCGAGTATGTGTCTTTCAATTGAAAATTTAACGATACAGTCTACATGTATATTATGGCAAGAGAGTCGTTTTTTCATATCTCATTACTAAACTACTTGTACTTTGCTTAAATCGCTGAGAGATCATGTTTTGCATTAATTCTGTATCTGATTGATTTCTTATATCTTTTACCTTAACATCAGTTCCATGGTTTTGTAGATATGTGAACATATATAATTTTGTTTAAGGTAAGAAATGCGGTATGGAACGTTTGCAGACAATACACTGATGACAAACAAGCAAATGACAAGAGATTAAGTTTCCTACTGCTGATGATAATGATCTATAGCGACCTTGACTTAGACGTTGATACTGTACAAATGGCATCGGTCTGTGAGAGTCTTAATATACGAAAGTCAGACGAATCGTTATTTAAGACAGTGATTGTGGATGGACTAAACAAGGATCAAAAGTAAAGGATATGTTTATATATACTTAAGATTCTTGAAATTAGGAAGAATTGGTGATGATACAAATACACGTTAGAATGAATTATTTGCATTTTAAATACAATTTGTTTAAACGATTCTATCGATCCGACTTCACAAAGCTATTAGACTATGACTAGTATTGCAAGATCAGAAATTTATCTTTTCACACTTATATACATGTATTACTTACTTTGGACATCTCAGGGAAAAGGGATCTTTAACGGTATTCAGTTATCATTTTGTAAACTCATTAGTGCCATTTTGTTTATCACAGAACAAATACATTATAACAAACCATGCTCTTAATTTTCAATGATACATTTGAACCAATCTTAATGCGATTTATAATAACCATCACATTTTGTTCCGGCTTCGTTTTATTCGTTAACAGTAATGAAACAATTATGAATAATTAAAGCAAAATCTAGGAACCTGAATGAAAGGCTATGTCCTTGCCTCCGTGTCTTTATTCTGGGATATTTTGTTAATTATATTCAGCGTTCTGAAATAGCAATCAACATAAGATTGTATATAATGTTAACTTACAACTCTTATTCAAGTTACTCTTATGCAAATTTTTGTTTGGTTGATGACAAATGAAGGCACAGTGGACGGCAAAAAAAGAAGAAAAAAATACAATCATTATATTAAGTTTCACTTAAAACCCTTCTTAATATGAAAAGAAGAATTATAAAAATTACACCGCCACAAAACATGTTACAACAAGGGCAAGAAAAATGAGAGAATGTCAAATTCTACGAACGGTTTTGTGAAAAACGCTTAATGCCGCATCATATTTTAACACAATTTGCTTATCTTTTTTTGCAAAACATGAGCATCAGAATGCGCAAATAGAAAATATATGCTTTTACAATGTAAAACTCGATTGACTTTACGCAGATTGTCTGCTTCTCTTTGTTGGACATGAAGTTGAAAAATGTAAACATTTATAATATCAGTGTGTAATTGCTAAACAATTGGGCGAAAATGGTAAAACAGAACATGATTAATATAAACCATATCGATTGTACTACCTTTAACTGTCACACCAAGGAAACCACATTTGATGAATAATTTGTGTTATTTTCTACAACTTACTATAGAGCAATGATGTTTTCTGTCAAATCTGTGCCTGACTGGCACTCATATTCAAGTTGTACATGCATGTAGCAACATGCAGAAATGAAAATAACCAGTCAGATATTATCTGTCAAACGTAAACAAAAATTATATAAACACGTGATTTATTTTACCTCGACATCAGACATTGAAAAATAAACAAGGAGCAGCAAGTAATTGTAAAGGCCGCTTTATGAAACATAATTTCCTTATTTCAAGTTTTCAAGTTTATTAAATATATCTCAGTATGACTAACATACATAGACATGAGAAAAAAAATTAATAATAATCGAAATGAATAGACTGCAAAACGCAGTAAAAAAGCAACAAGGCAAAAAGAAAACAACATAAATGTACATCTGAATCAACTTTATGGATACATAGGTCCATAAATTGAGTTTTCAATCTTAATATTATGCATACATATGTTAGTTAATAATGTTAATATTGTACATCTAACACGTTAATGTATAAAATAATACATACATATACTACATGTATTATTTATATATAATAATGTCAGTTTCTTTATTCTTATTGACTGGGTATGAAATTAGTACATATAAAATGGTTTATTTTTTTATTTTCCTATTTATATTACATATCTTATGTCTTAATTTGATTAAGTTGTAATTATCAAACTTCATGTGTAATAAGTTTTTACTGTTTTTGGTGATAATTTCATTAATTTCACTCAGTTTAATTACCTCTATTTTATTTTCAGTGTTGAAAAGTTGGTCAGAGACCGCTGGGTCTTGTTTATTGTTTGTATTGAGATAAAAAAAAAAATGCCGCTGATTACTATTGTCCGATCAGAGGAAAACTTTCGTCATGTGTTTAATCAGTCTAGTTTGATATTGGTTGCAAGTGTTTTTGTATCATGTATTTTAGTTATGAAGATATTTTCTAGATGTTTTGGGCAATCTCGCCTTTTACACTTTACAGCAACGTACAAGTAAATGGTAAAGGCATAGTTTTCGGTAATTTTATTCATTATAATGTATTTATAAATATTTCTGTTTGTGTACTCATTTGCTCATGTTTTGCAAAATAAAAGAGCAAATTATATAATTTGATAAATATCGAGATAGTAAACGTTTTTACAAATGCTGGTATAAAATTGGCTTTCTCTCGCGATCTTTCTTACCCCCTGTCTAAACTATATGTTTTAATAATTCAATTTTTGTCGTGAATTTTGTTTATCCATTTTGTTTTGTATGTTTCCCGATTTAGTAAATCTTAATTATTCCAATAAGGGGGAGTTTCTAAGTACTTAGCGGAGCATTCTCTGCATAAGCATTTTTAGAGGGGTATTTAAAGACGTATTATAAATGTGACATTACATACGTGCATGGCGTTTGAGAGTCTAACGAGGTGTACATTATCATGCCGTAATTGGTTTTCTTTCTTCCGCATTATTTACATGTTTATGACAAAATTTTGAAATAATAATTAAAGAATTATGATAAAATAACTAAAATGATATGATTTGATATTGTGAAGTAAACATTTGTTTTTTTCCTAGGTAAAAATGTAAGGGATATCTGCCACATCTTTATATTGACATTAAATTTAAAAGTTTCCTCTTTTAGTGAAAATAAATATAAAAAATGGAAGAGGTAATGTTTTTTCTACTCGTAGCATGTGTCGCCCCTGTGAATGATCATTATGAAAAGGGAGCTGTCAATTTTAGAGACTTTTAATTAATACAAAAAATATTTATTTTCATGTAAGGGACGCTCTTCTGGATAACATTCTGAATTTCGCAAAAGCTGTAAAAAAAGAGAAAAGAGAATATCATTGGGTCTTTTTATTACCATACATTCATGTTTTGTCTGGACTGTGTGATCCATATGCTAATGTAAAGATGGATTTAAGTTATGAGACCGATCAATGGTGGGGGGTTTACGGTGGAAAGATGAAAATGATGGTAAACACAACCGCTAAAAATGAAGACCCGTGCTCTGAGTGAGTATAACATGTATATTGAATGAAACATATTATCATATATTCTTCATATTAATAGTAATTTGTAACTTTAATATAAAAAACATATAAATAAAAGAGCAAATACCGTAGGGCATGATCGCTTTTTCATGAACTGTTTGTATAAATGCTTACAACTCTAATTTATTTCAAAATACTTGGAGATGCAATTTTAATATCATATTTTCCTGCAAATTATCCGAAAATGTTATATTTGCCATCATATAAATTGCCTGTCTAATGAAACATAAACACTTCTTTCCTTACATTTTATTTGTAAGTAAGTAAATAGTTTCTTTTGTCCTCAATGCCTATTTACAGTATAAGACAACGGTATGTGGTGTGTGGTTATTACACTCATTGAATGCATTGCTTCATGTTCTTTTTCTTTATTTCTTGAGTGATCAGCTGTTTTTTTAAATCAAATCTAGTTCCAACGCAGTAAAGAAATCATAATTGATCATCAGTTGATTCTTTAACCTCGAATTATTAAAACATTTAAGTAAATCCAAGACTCGACTGTGCTTTTTTAACGCAACAGCATTGCAAAAAAGGCTTTAGATTAACAGAAAAAATATAAACCGGTGCTTGCAATGAAAATTAAGACTGAAATATGTTCCAGATTGGGTTAATTGAGTCTGTTTGTCATGGCCACTCAGACACGCACCCATGCTTCCCTGGACTGCCTGGAATACTTAGTTTTGAAATTTTCATTCATTATTCTGTAAATGCACTCAAAATGAATAATTTAGACAGTCAAAAGAACAAAACTTTTCTCCATATAAAGAATAAAATGACGGTTTCCTAACGTGACCCGCGTGGGTCAGGTTAGAGCGCTAGGATTTCACAATATTTGTCAAAGTGAACTCTGGAAACGTTAAAGAATATGTCAAATGAATGACTTCGACTTGTTTCAATCATACAAAATCCACAATATCTGTTATTGTAACTTCAAGGGTTTATTCAAGTCACCTGACTTGTTTTAAAACTATTTGATGATTCTATTGGCATCTAATTTTGTTCAACATATCTAGATATATTTACGTTTTAAACCCTAAATATGTAGAATTTAAACAGAAATTAATGCTGAAACTTCAAGAAAAGTCATTTTAGCTTGATTTGAGTGCATAAGATCATTTTAATATTTTTGTCATTATTTTGCCTGAATATCCCTTTAAGACCAGAAAATTACAACAACACTTAAATGAAGAAAGGGACAGTAAAATAATTATGAAAAATGATTAACAACATAAACAGTTTAAATGAAAATGCTATCATGAAATAACAATTATAAAATTATGTGATATTATGTGTTTGCAGACCCAATGCGATATCAAATATATCAAGCAAGATTTATACTCTTTTTGAATTTGACTATTTACTGCCAAGAACTATTCTGGCATCACTTCAACTGCTCGAGTTAAAGGAGGCAATAAAAACAATGAATTACCCTATCTACACATGTTTAGCTTCCATCCTAACTCGTATGAAGACATTGTCACATGAAAGAGGAGATAAAACAGGAAAAGGGAAAAAGGTTGTATGCATTTACAAATGTATATTTATTACACTTTGTAACCATAATTATTTTGAGAAACATGATTCTTGACGTTATAAATTTTACACTTTACTGCCACTTCTTTGTGTGGTCTTGTTCTATTATGAATGGATGTTAAGATTTTCATTAACTTTAATTTTAAGATACATTGTAGTATAATATAGTTCGATTTCATTTGTCAATAAAATGCGTAAACATGCATTAAGCTATTAAGAATACATGTTTTTTTTTTGCTCACTGCAACAATATTCAGATTGTCGGAGAATGTGTAGAAGATATTCTGAAATCAATGAAGTCAGTCCCATACAAGCAGCCGATGTAAGTACATATAATATTAAGCTTTATCTCATTTACATCCTATTGATGATCCATCAAATCGTTTTTGAAAAAAAATATAATGATAATTCCAGCTTAATCATGGCTTAATCAAAACAGGTTTTTTTAAATTCATAAAACAATGAAACTATGATGTAAACAAATACTGTCTTACCTTAATGTATATATTGTATTATATAGTTATTGTATGATAACAAGATGAGGTGAACTTATCGGTCTTTGGTCGAGTTAAATACCAGATATTAAGCAATGCATATGTACTTTGATTTTCACCGAAATTTGCATACAATAACTGTTGTATTATTTGAGAGAAGAAAACTCTTCATTTGGTTGTCTGATACTCCTCTTTTAATTATGATAAAATGCAAGCCCTTCAACACAGACGCAAACACAGAAATATTCATGTAAATGGCATTTTAAAACTTGTCTAAAGTGCGTTTATGTTCATTCGAATGCGACTGAATATAATCCTTTTTATATAGTCTAGAGTAAAAAAAATTAAATCTGAATTGCAACTTCAATTTTTCCTGTGTCCTCAAATAAATTATTTTTATGATATACTCATGCAATGTGATTCACAACTTTTTTTGTTATTGTTACATTTTTGGGATATACCTTGAATGAATTCAAATTTAAAAAGCACATAAACTCGTCTTCGCTTCTATAGCGATCAGTTTTTTCTTCTTTTTTATCTGGTTGATAACTTTAAATCTTTCATGGTTATTGATGATTTAACTAAAGAAATAAGAAATATCCCATCTTGTTAAAATACCAACTTTTCTTGAATGTACGATGTTAATTATATTACTTTAAATTTGAACTAAATAAACATCGTGCATATCCAGTAACGCATGTATATGCAAATAACGTAAAAGTAACGCCGAATTTGTGCAGCGCTAATGCCAAAGCTAATAACACTGCGAGTAAACGAACCAAAATTTTTTATTCTAAATGAAATTTTAAATTTTATGTAATGAATAAGTGCATATGGCCACTACGACATTATACTTTAACCAGCATTACAAGTTTTTTTCATGAATATGTTTATCTTTTTAGATCATTCGTGAGAAAGACAACCTGATAACCGTTTTGAGGGTGTCTTTTGTGTTTCGTCAAAAAAGTATATAAAGTTAACACATTATTGTTTTCGTATTCTGTAAACGTAAGACATTTGTCAAACAATACGTGTCGTATAACAATAGAAGAAAGCTGGTAAATAAGATTTAGCTACTTTTAATGAGATAACCGCCTTTGCGTCAGTGCTTCAATCATAAATTCGGGGTTCCCTCGTAAAAAGGGTCTCAATTACGTTTTATCTGCTTACATTGTAATTAAGTGTAATATGACACGAGTAGATTGAAAAATATCTCAGGAAAAAAAACATAATGTAATATGTACGTTATTGTATTTAAAGATATCAACGAAACAAAAAATCGTCATCAATGCGCTAGTCATGGCGTCATTTTCATGAATGATCTTGAAAAATAATCATTTTTAATGAAATATTTTTGATGAGGTTTAGAGCATAAAGTCTCAGCAACCGTATGCGCTAATTCATTTCTTCAAATTTGGTGAACAATAACAATATTGGTCTTTTTACTTATCTCGGTGCTCGTTTTAGTCACTGAATTGCACAATTCTGCGTTGCTTTTGCACAATTCCTGCGTTATTTGCACATTCCTGTGTTACTGGATATACACGGTATAAAAGGACAGTGTAAGTTCATTATCATTTCAAGTGAGGGTGAAATAACTTTAACTTTGATATTGATTTCATGGAAGTTTGACTGTTTGTTAATGCTTACACAAATAATTGTTGTACCATTATATATATTCTTTCCAATTCATGACTTTATTTGTGTCAAGGACATCGATTTCATTATTTGCTGTTATTTTTGTACATTGCTTTTTAATTTTCAAAGCATTACGGTTCTAATGATGATAAGACATGTATAATTAAAATACGTAATCTTAAGACTTTTTAATTATCAATTAAATCAACCTTACTAGATTTTATACATTGTTTTCCAGAAAGGAAAAGGATTATGCTACATTGCTTGCAGGCGTTTTTGCTTCATACCTTGTCGTAGAATCTACACACGGATATACAAAAAAGATTGTTTGTTGTTGTTGGGAAATCTTCCTTTTATGCATTTCGACGTTTAACTCGTTGATGAATGCATCATCAGATGGAACACACGATGGTTGCTTTGCTTTGGTGAAGGATACAAGTTGCAAAATAATCAACTGGATGAACACACAAAACTTTTCATTAAAAGAAGAAATTGGTGTAAGTATATACCTTAACATTACATATTAGATGCTCAGTCCTGAAATATCGTATATTGAATACCTTTCATAATAATTATTTAATATTTATGTAATTTTGATGTTGTATAATCTTTTCTGCCCTGATTGTTAAAAATTATTTGAAGTCAATATATTCTACTTTAGAGTTTATAAATTAAAAACAGTAAAGGCTTACGAAGAAAACAAGGGGATGAACAAAAATTTCACGTGACCCCAAATGCGAACGAACACAGTGACCTTCACTTTTGGGTGTCGGTAAAAGGGGAATCTTATAACGTTTTTATGAGAAATATGTTTTAAATTTCAATCATCATAAGCGTACCATTCGCCTCGTAAGCTTATTATCGGTATATGACATATTGTAAACAATGATTTATAGTTTTTCATTTTGTATGGAACATGTCATTGAAATTGTCAATTAAATGCTTATTTACACGTTAATTTAACTCCTAAGTTATGGAGTAAAAAACTTTTGGAAATGCTTATAGTCTGTGTTTCGAGTCTGACGTTGCAGACATGAGGGTGGCTATATATACCATCCTTTACTGGTGCTTTTCGCCAAGACATTTAATGTTGTGCAACTGGACATGAGAAGCTAAATAATGAAGTACAGGATAATGTTAATTGTAACTTTTGCATGGCTCAAAACAAAAATGACTGAAAATATATATTGCCGTTTAACAATTCGGGACATAAGTCAATCTAAGGGACATGGCTTTCTATATAAGACGCATCCAAAGTTGTTTTTTTTACATGTTTTTCTATCCTCTACCGATAAATCATAGGCGATATATTGAACTTACCTGACTCGTTTATCAGTTACTTCAGTCGTTCTGTCCGGAATCTCTCTGTCAATTGATTCGATTTTTGCACATGAGTTGTTGGATTTTAATGCATTGCTGTAGAATAATGCACGGTTTGAGTTCAAATGCGTAGGAATATTATCACGAAGGCCGATATTTACAAAACACTTCAACGAAAAAGTGTGAATTTTTTAACAAATAATATCGGCCTGAGCGGTGTAACACCGGTTTGGAGTTTTGATGCGTAGGAATTGACCACGAAGGCCGACATTTTTTTATTCTAACAAGACAAAATCGTATAACGCTATTCGATTTCGCACCCTACTGTTATTAAGATACAGAAATTATTAAACAAAAGAAATAATAAGAAATAAAAGTTATTTTCTCAAATTTTCAACAATTAAAACTGACGTCATTTTAGCGCCTTTATGACTGAGTTGTATTATTAGGATGATGCCATAACGCTGCTTACTAATTGACGCCGATTTGTCATATGATTTTTATGAATTGATATGGATCGAACTTGTGGCGGGAGTGTATGTAAGATTTTTTTTTGAATTTTATGAAACAAAACATTGTAAGAACGGACTATATCAATATCAATACCTTCTTTATGTATAGTGACAAAATCACGAGCGGTGTTAGAATATACTATGTACTAATATCTATTTCCATTCTAACACGTCAAGAAAAAATATAAAAAAAGTTGGACTATTATTTGGTCAATATGTTTGGGGGTTTAATTTGTTTTCGCTTGAGAGGTTCCCACAGAAGCGTTTTTTAAAGACTGTTCCAGTTGGTTGAAAAAAATACCGTTGGTAAAAGCATTTTGAGAATCTCGAATTTTGAAAACAATAATTGTTCATGTTTATTTTATTTCAGAAATATAGACTATTTATGGGTAAATAAAAGCATAATTTTATTACTTTTCGACATTGAAGTAGCGATCTTGTTTTGACAGTTTTACATGCACTGTTTGGCGCTACAGTGTGACGTCACGTAAACAACACTTAAACGTCTGTAAAGAGTTAATGATTGAAGATACTGTGGTTCGTTTTATTTTCTTAGTTAGACCATTTTCTATCATTCTAGATAGTTTTTACAACAAAATCTAACAACAATTTGTTTTTTATTTATCAGATTTTAAAACAAAATGGCGCCTTCAATGTGTTGATTTGAAAATACAGAGGGAGGAAATAAGAGCGGCGGATGCATTATTGTGAAAAATATCACGGTTCAGAACTTATTTGTGTATATAAGAGAAATCTCCGTTAGTGTTAGAATTAGCAGTTACACGCTTAACCATTTTTCCTACCATTCACATGAACATACATGTAAAAGTTATTTAAAAAATACTCTAATCGGTAACCGGCATCCGCTCTTTATAAATTTGGCACAACACATCATCCACCATCTATACTTTATAAATCTGAAAAGAACAACCATTTAGATATAGCATAAAAAAGATAGCTAGTACACGTTTGACGAACAAAGTGTGGTCGGTTGCCATATCTAGCAAGAATGTGTACGTTTGTCTCTGTTCACTTCCTGCTTCGAAATTAGGGTTTGAATGTTCTCGAAAGCTACAAAACATTTTAACAGCATTTTTACACTAAAGAAAGCTGACGATATTAGTACAGTGCGCCTAAAATTATTGAAAACAAAACTTATAACCTATTAAATCGCGAAAGGTTTACCTTTTCAACGGCTTCCAAAGTTGAAAGTCACTGCGTTCGTTCGCATTGTGATGCTACAAACTGTGCTTATCCAAAAACGAAGGTATTTTTAGAAAAACATTTTAAATTTAAAGAAAAGTTTAAAATATATGTACATTTTTCTTAATAAATCAAATTGTCAGGAAAAGATTTGTTTTTAACTTTCAGATTTACCTCCTGCCAAATCAAATAATCATAGCCAATTATTAAAATTGAACATCATAAAATAGTTATATGGTTTCATAAATTGCTGGAATGACTACTGTTTATGTATGTGTCTAAGAATATGGGGAGTAAAGATCAAACAATTACAGAAACCAAATCTATCTTGTTCAAATTTAATTTGTTATCATTTTTGTGATACAATTTTCTTCTGGTCCAGGCAAAACATAAAACTTTCTTCGAAATGACTGGAATTATATTAAATATAATCCGGCGACATTAAAAAAAATATTTTCATTTAAAAAATTTCCTGTCTGGATCAAAACTCAATATGCAGATACGTTTACATCGTCATAAGGAAAAGATTGTAGTGAAGGAACTGATAATCTTACTGTACCTTTTTTTAGTATCGTTTGTTACGAATATAGACACTCACGCATGAACCTTAATTATATTTAGTCTTATTTAACAATTATCCTTTTTTGTAATTTTGTTGGAATTAAAACCTGAAATAGGAGGATGTAAATAGACGAGGCACCCGATATCAATTTGTTTTTGTCTCCTTTTAAACATTTCATTATCCGCAACATAACTAGAAAAGTTACTGAATAGTGAAATAAAGAAGGAAACGACGATTGAATTTGCTTTTTAAAAACATTTTAACGATATTTTGACGATAAGAAAAGTATTTGGTTTGTTGACTTTAACTGTAACGGTTTTGAAATTTTGTCATGATCTCCAATTTATTTATCTTGAATGCTTAATTTAAGTTTGCAGAATCTTATATATTGAAGACATGGAAATGGCTTGTTTGTTCAAAAAAATTTTATTTAATACTTTCATATAGGTTTCCAGACAACAAATAAGTTACATTGAATTATTGTTTTTGCACTTTTAACACTGGGGGTATTTATCGCCGTTAGAAGTTATTCTAGTTAAGTAGTGAAGATTACCTTTCTTTCAGACATGGAATGCCTTGTTTCTATCAGAAGATACATCAATTTATACAAACAAGGCCTTGGACGATGCACTTACCGAGGCGGCATTAAGAAATTTGAAACGACGTTCTGTAAGTAAACATTTTTTTAAAAAAAGAAAGCCACAAAATATATTTGTCTGTTTTTTATGTTTTGGTATCAGTTGATAAGATATGAAATGAATCAGCAGGCATTGCACTAGGGTTAAATAAATTAAAACGCTGCCCTTTGCTTCTGTCATTTCATAGCTTTGCCTGTTTGTTTCATTTCATAGTTTTGCTTTTTGGAAGGAATTTTTTTCAAAAAAAAATTTCCTTTCTATAGTAACGGTCTGCCCAATATTGAAAAGAACGAACAACACCTAATTGAATTCTGTTTAAGCTCAATAGAAAACAAGTAGTTAATGCGACCGATAAAGTAGTAGTGCAGCAGAACTATATGTATACTTTCAAACGTGGATGACTTCAGGAAAAAGCTGATGTTCAAAAAACCTTGAAATGATGATATTCAGTGTTAGCTTACATCAATGGAACAAAATCTTAAACGTGTACGAAAAAAAACCATCAGTATTATTACGCATTAGGCCAAAGAAAAGTTTGTGTCCATGTACCTATGTACAATAAATTGAATAAAAATAAGGTGTAATTTTGTAGCAGAGTTCACATATAAGTCAACCGAATGGAAATGAAAGAATTTATTGTAGATATTAAGCAACTTATTGAATAGCATTTTATGCCACCGCTGAATTTTTTACGTCGATAACTCAAGGGGAAACAATGGATACAATGATATGTGGCCTTAAAAATTTGTACTATTTTCGCCAAAAAATGGTTCGCAAATGATCATAGAATCAAAGCGTTTGAAACAAAAATATTATTATGTAAATAATAAAAAAAAACACTATTACAATACAAGTCTTTCAAAAGTATTCTGGAATTAACGGATGCAAATTGGTAAAACTTGGTTTTGACACACCGTATGCCATTGTTCGGACCATCGGCAGAATAACGTTCGTGTTTTTCAGATTTCTTCATCCAAGACATACAGCAGATTTGCTGA